CCTCATCAGTTTCCTGGTTCACAGAATAAAGTCTAGTTTCATAGACAAACATATTTGTGTGGTTCTTTCAGCGACCAGGAGAAGTAAAGTTTGTTATTTAAGTCGTAAAAACCCTCCAGACCAGATGGGACGTACGTTTAGAGTAAAGTCCTGCCAGAGGCTCAGTTTGTACTCATCATCATTAGTTCCTCTAAAACATTATTCAACAATAATATCAGTTCCTGAATTGACAAAAAGCAGCTTTCTGACATCACTGGGTCTCTGATGAGATTCAGCTGCCTGAGAATCAACAGAAACCTGTTGAGAGACGAATAAAGGACGAGCTGCAGCCACGCTGTGATAAAACTCCTGGTGTTTTACTGAGATCTGGGCCAACGGCTAAAATATCCCAACTTACTGCACATACACACAGCTGTGTCTAAAACAAGCAGATGTGGCTGCTGCCAGGGCAGGAAGTGGATTTCACTTGATAACATGTCTTAAAATAAGCCAGACTGTCTTTACAGCTCATAAACTCTGGAGGCTCAGAATAGAACAGCTTCCTTTGGTTTGGAGCGTCAGTCCACAGACTCCGTTAGAGGAAGGAAAAAAACAAAAAGCAGAATGTAGGTTCTTTAAAAATAACCCAAATGGAGACTTATCAAGACAGACCAGTGGCATTTTACTTAAATTAAGGCAAAATGAAAATGGATATTTGGCCTGTTCTGATATTGAGTTACGCTGAATGCGTTACAGTTGTTACTGTTGAAGGGACTGATGATCCCGATTGGTTGGAGGTCCTGAACCTCCTCAGAGTCTCTGTCATGGTCCCGTTGCTGCTAAACTCCCACAATGCTCTCTGCTGCCACCATGACCTGCAGTCTGTAGACGCCTCCTCTGGTCTCTACAGGAGTAAACAGGGAGAGGCTCCACCTGGTGGAACAACCAGGTACTACAGCTGGTCTACGATTGCTGACATCCTGTAGCAATACAGGTTTTATCCATCTGTTGGAGCCTCAGAACATCCTACCCTCTAACCCTACATCTACCCTCTAAGCCTACATCTACCCTCTAACTCTACATCTACCCTCTAACCCTACATCTACCCTCTAACTCTACATCTACCCTTCGCACTCTTACCTATCAGCAGATACTGAGTATTAAATGACTCAGATCTTGATCCGGACATCCTTTGAGGAGAATGCAGATTGATCCATTCGGTCTTTGTGCAGCAGTATTACAGCTTTGAAATGTTTAATGCTGAAAAGTTGTCTGTTGCATTTTTTAGTAGAAGCGAGCAGTTTTTAAATATGGCTAAACTGTGTGTTATCTATTAAATGGTATCAGAGGATATTATATTGAAATAACTCTGACTGGACCAGAGGCTAAAAAGCATGAACACAGGTTGTATGAACCAACTCATTTCTTTAATGGAGTCTGTGTTCAGAGGACGAAGCCTTCAGCAGCCGTATCGTGTTTATCTCAGCAGATCGTTGTTTATCTGGTTATTGATGGACTCCTCGTCCACGGAGATGCTGAACAGTTCAGAAGGAATCTGTCACTGTGTCTTGAACAGATAACCTAAAGCTCCAGTTTCTTTCACCATGAAGTCGGATTTAAACCCTCGGTGACCTGGAGGACCGAGGCGTCCCTGAACCTGCTGCCTGATTGATATTCCAGCAGCGACGAAGACGTTCATCATCGTCATCACAGAGACAGTCAGATGAGGTCGCTGCAGGGGCGTGCACGCTCTCATGCACGCTCTCATGCACGCACAGAAACAGTCCAACAGCACACACAGATAATCAACTGGCTGCTTCGGAGCGTCTGGTTCGGGCCAGATGTCGCAGACGGAGCGAGCAGCGTGCTACGCTAATTAGCATGCCTGAGCTGCACGCTGCAGCGTTGATATTCAGCTCATGTCTGGATCAAGAATTCTGTTTTTGTCCTGCCGGCTGTGGCTCAGAGCTCTGCTGGAAATCGTCTCCCTGCTCGGCTAACTCCACGTGTTCCCGTGTGGAGTCAGTTCTGCTCAGATTCATGGGCTCGAACGGAGGCGGACCGACTTTCCAAAAGCATGTCAGTGCATCAGGCAGCTGTTAGCGAGCTACACCGGATTAACGTGGAGGAGGATCAGATGCTCCCCGAAGGCAGAAATCCACTCAGACATCTGAGAAGAAGATGTTGTGAACACTTTTAGGTTTAGTTTGCTGTCATCTCTACAAGCAGGAGCTGCTAATAATCAGTTCAGCATCTTTGAACGCCGCCGCTGTGATGAAATGGAACCGGAGCAGCAGTTCAATACGCTGCTATCCACATCTCGCTTCCCACAAGATGAGATTTTACTTTATTGTTCTAAAACACACGTTATACAGAGGAAACCGTAAGAACAGCTCTATCAGACATGACACAGAACAGTCCAGTCAGTAGAACCGTTCTGGTCCGTAGTCAGTCTGTAGGTGGTGTTTACATGAGGAAACTGTTCACGACAGATTTAACACACTTTGTGTAACTCTCTGTCCAGGTCTGAAGGTTCATGCAGGTCTCTGCAGGACGTTGAGGATTCCTCCAACTTTTAGGCCTCCACAGAGGAAACCTGGTGCAGATCAACGTCAGAATCTTCAACATCGAATGTCCTCCTGCACAAAATGCATTTTTCCAGTTTGATTCTGAAGAACTGAGCGACATTTAACTCGCTGATATTTCATCTTCATCACCATTTATTTGCTGAATCTGGGTCCGTTGCTCTACTTTGTTTAATCGATGCGTCTCTAGAAGCATCAACGGTTCTGTGATTAAAACTCAGAATGAGCAGAAAGGAGGAAGATCTGCCTCCATGTCCGACAGGCAGCTACAGGAAGTGTTTTATGGAGACTTTGCACCAAACACCAGTCGGGAGCCAACAGACGTCGTTCTGTTAATGAAAGGGAACGAAGGAAATCAATACTGAGGGTTCTCATTAGATTAAAACATGCACTAGATCAGATGGTCTCAGGTTGAAACGAAGAGCGAATAGAAATGATTTAATGAGAAACGTGACTCAAGCAGCTCTCAGTGAACTTCATTGCATCCAGAACGATGGACCGGGTTCTTTGTACACTGAGCAGAACGTCTGAATAGAACCCGTCGCTGCCTTTTCATGCTGCAGCCGTCGGATCCTTTCATCGCTGACGTTCTCAACGGTGGCTCGAAGGGAACGTGGGAACAGAGAGGCCACTTCGCTGTGAGGAGTTTAGAAGTCAAGAGAGGCTCTGTGAGAACAGTCCAGAAGAACGTCTGGTTCTCTCAAATGCCACGTCGCTCTGGAAGATCCTCACCATGTTTGGTTCCACAGTTTTCCTTCTTCTTCTGGTTCATTTACAGTCGATCTGTCACCATTTATTCGTCTGAGCTGGTCTGAGGCAGAACGTCAGAGAACCACCTGGACGTTCTGTTTTCTATGTTTATAAAGAAAACTGGTTTTAAAATAGTTGAAATGTTTCAGTCGAGTTTACAACAAACAAATTCATTATCGTTTCCAGTCATGTTCCAGAACACAGATGATGTTCTGTGGTAAGGAGGAACGTTCTCAAACCAACATTCATAAAACGTTTCCCAGATGTCATCGAAGCCTCAGATGATTTCTATCAAACGTTCCTTTAATGTGATGTGTTATTGAAGGTGGAAAGTTCTGTCTGCAATGTTCTGAGGACGTTGTTGAGGAAACACATTTTTAATGTTCTATGAAACATTTGAACAATGTTCCATCATAACGAAAGAAGAACGTCCTCAAATTAACATTCAAATAACGTTTTCCAGATCTTATCGAGGCCTCAGATGACGGATTAACGTTCTTATAATGTAATGTAATATATTACAGGTAGAACATTATAGAACGTTCTTTATACAACCTTCCCCCAATTGCGCAGAACGAGTTCTCAGTAGAACTTTCAAAAAACGTTCTCAAGATGTTATTGAGGCCTCAGATCACAGAACGTTTGCTACAAGAAGCTCCTGTAATGTGATCCATGACAACAACCAAGGAATGTTCTCAGTGCAACATTCAGAAAACGTTTTCCAGATGTTCCAGAACGTTCTCAGTATGTTTCCACCAAAAGTCTTTAGAGCATCTTTCGTTCTTCTGCCTCTAAGAACCAGATTCTGGAACCTGAAAGAAAACATGATTAGAATGTAGCAGAACTTCCTCGTGGTTCTTCTGGAACAGAAGAAGTTCCGTCCAGCTGGATCATGTCTCCATCAGAACCTCTGACCTGCAGGACCGATGAGGCAGCAGCACAAACCTTTCCTGAACGTCCAGAGCACTAAATGCCTGCTTGGACCCGCATGGACCAATGAGAACGTTCTGTAGAACAAGTTCATAAGTGAGAAAACACTGATTTCAGCTGCAGCTCTAATTTTATGCTGTCAAACCCGATAACTCTGAAGCAGGTGAAGAACCGTCCACTGGACAGAGATGTTCTCCATCTGGTGATGGTACCGACACTGAGGTTTAACCGCTTCACTGCTTTCAGAACTTAGAATCCGGCCGACACCTCCTCCAGTTCTTTCAGCAGGTTTTACTAACTGATGCCTTTTTATTTCTTATTTTTAATCAGCTGACCTCGTTGGTTAATCAGCTGTTTACGGCTCTGATGGACCTTCAGCTGTTCTACAGGATCAGCGCTGATGATTTAAACACAGCCTGGTTCCTGTGACCCAGTGCATTCCAGTCTGTTGATCCTCAACAGGATTTTTGTGTGTTTACCTTCAGCAGAAACAGAAGCGTTTTGGCTTGAACGAAGCTTCGGCTGACGAACCGACACCGTCTCGAGTTCTAACCCGTTCTCAGTGTTTACATCTGGGATCATAAAAAACCAGAGTTTCTGATCATCTTCCATTTCTGTGTTTGAATGTCCTTCTGTCCTGTAATGACCTCTGTGTGCTGTAAAGGTGTCTGTTAGAACTATTGGACCTCCAGCTGGTTCTGCAGAGTCTCCGTTAGTGGGTTCTAACCGGACCTTCCTGCTTTCGGTCCTCCAGAGAACCACTCTGCTCCTCCAGACGTCACTGGTTACACCAACAACACCGACGGCATCCAGGTGGAGCGAACGCCGGCCGCTGGCACCGGAACCGGTACCGGCACTGCCGCCCCGAGACCGGCGCCCAGGTACGGCAACGCCGAGCTGATGGAGACCGGAGACGGTGAGTGGGAGGATTACATCAGTATTCATGATGTGTGCAAACGATGATTCAGTAACTCAGATGTTCCAGTTCAGTGGTTTTAAAGGAAAACGGCTCAGAAAGAAATATTCTAAACCAAAGACTGTAAAGTTCATCCACTGAAGCTGATCGGTGGAGATTTATTCTGTTCATGTTCTTGCAGACAGAAAACATATTTAACCTTTTACAAAACACGTTTTGTTTCACCCACAGATGAAATTATAATAAATATATGTACCAGTTTATTTGTATTAGGATGAAACTCTACAGGTGGGATTTAAAAAAGCAGCAAACGCTGACACCAGAGCAGATTGAAGAACCTGTTGGCATCAGAAAAGATGAATCGTCACGTTTCTGCAGAGACTTTAGAGAAGACGGAGTTAAGCCTTCCTTCTCTGGAGGGATGGAAGCAGCAGAGTTTGGTCAGACGTGGACGATGTCAGAGTTTACAGCTTGTTGGGATGTTTGGCTCGAAGAGACGCAACCAAACTCAGAAGGTTTCGCCATAAATCAGAAACGCTGTTGCTTGGCTGCCTCCTTCAGTCAGACAATATCAGAGCTGTTTGTCTTTTGGTGTCTGAGGATCTGAGGTTTGATTCAGGCTGTCGGAGCTCAGATTTAGTCCTTCTCCCTTTCCTCTGGTGTTTTCACTTTAATTACTGAAGGATTAAACAGTGAATCTGTCACAAGTCAGGCTCAGTTTACATGAAATAAATGTCTTTCTCTCAGTTTTAATCCGGAAATCATCACATTTTGGTACAAAACAGAAGATGGTGGGTTCGTTTATCCTCCTGTTGGAGCTCAGGTTGTTTCTGATGTTTTTTCTTATTCTTCCCACATTTTCTGGACATTCAAGCAGACGTTAGTGATTTTACATCGGATCTGTGGTAAACGTCAGAGTTCGGGCTGTGCAGGTGTGAAGGTGAAACAGATGCCGACAGTGTAAACGTGAGTTCTTCAGCCCTGAAAGCTTCATACAGCTGAAGTTATGAGGCTCACAAATGCTGGAAACAGTAATGAATTAAAAAGTTTCAACCCTCCTCTGTGGAGTTCAGGGCCTGGAACTGAAAGATATTCACAGCATGAAGGTAGAACCCTGATCCTGAGATGAAGAATCAGATGGCTGTGAGAGGGTTCGGGTTTCAGGAAACCGATGAAAACAACAAACTGCTGTCGTCACTCAGGATTTTACTGGCTGATCATTTTCTCCCTGAAAACAGAACTCAGCAGAGTTGAGCCTAAAATCAGAGGAGCCTCGCCTCGTAGCCACGATTCCTCACTCGGAGGTTCTCTAACGCAGGTTTAAAACACTGGTTGCCCAACCAGAACATCTGAACTCTGATTGGACTGTATTTGTGCTCTGCAGGAGTTCCGGTCAGCAGCAGAGTTTCAGCCAAAATCCAGCAGCTGGTCAACACGCTGAAGAGACCCAAGCGGCCGCCGCTCAGGGAGTTCTTCGTCGACGACTTTGAGGAGCTTCTGGAGGGTAACGGCTTCTCTCTTATTCTGAAAATACACAGTGAGTCTGTTAAGTGTTGATCCCCAGGAGGTGGAGAACATCACAACACCCTGAGTCAGAACAGAGCAGGAGAACCGATGAATAGAATTAGAGAAGAGGAACATTGATGTTAAGTGTGGCGACACAAAGACTCTGCAAACTAAAGCCTACAAAGAAGACATCTGGATCAACTTTATATGTCTGAGTCATTTAATATTTAGTATGTAGAGTTAGAGGGTAGATCTATTCTTATATTTATATTATTTATATGCACATTTTTAGTTTTTTAGTTTTTCCTGTCTCGTATATGTGTACCTCTGTTGAATGCTGCTATCAACAATTTCAATTTCTCCACTGTGAGATAAATAAAGGCACATCTTATCTTATCTTATGTAGATGTAGAGGGTAGATGTAGAGGGTAGATGTGGGGTTAGAGGGTAGATGTAGAGTTAGAGGGTAGATGTAGAGTCAGAGGGTAGATGTAGAGTTAGAGGGTAGATGTAGGGTTAGAGGGTAGATGTAGAGGGTAGATGTAGAGTCAGAGGGTAGATGTAGAGGGTAGGATTTTTGAGACTCCAACCGATGGATAAAACCAGTATTCACTCTATGATTTTAGTAAATGTGTCATGAGCAGCTGTAGTACCTGGTTGTTCCACCAGGTGGAGCCTCTTCCTGTTTGATCCTGTAGAGACCAGAGGAGGCATCACTCAGACTGCAGGTCATGGTGGCAGCAGAGAGCATTGTGGGAGTTTAGCAGCAATGGGACCATGACAGAGACTCTGAGGAGGTTCAGGACCTCCAGCTCATGGGTTAGGGTTAGGACATCAGACGTGAACAAGAATTTGGATCTGTTCAGGTTGGTGCTAAAACTAGTCAGTTGGATCCTGATCTTTGAAATCGGATCAGAACATCTGCAACTGGTAATTGAATCCCTAAAAGAATGCTAAACTACCCTTATTGCCCCCTAGTGGTTCGCTGCAGTACGTCTCATCAACCTCAGCCCTGGTGGGACGTTACCAAAAGTAAATGTAGTATAAATACTTCAATATGGACTAAAACCTCAATTAAAAAGGGGGAGTTTGGTTTGAGGAGCCAGAACCTAAAACTGACTGGTTTAGTTCCTGATCAGTGATTTTACCTACCGCAGAATGCAGTTAGCATTTTAGCATGTTAGCAAATATGTTTGTAGAAATGCATCAGTTTCACCGTTGAGGCTTTCAGGAGGACTCGTGCTGACTATTTACATCTCGCTTGAACACGAGCACCCCGATGAGCAGAGCTCCTCCCTGAACATCTGCTCAACGTTTCCTTCTGGTTTCAGAATCAAACGCTGCAGAGACACAAGTTGATTCATAATTCAAGGATGGATATTAAATGTGGGAAAGACTCGGCTTGGTTCAGTGTCTCTTTAAAATTCACTGCGGCTGCTGATTGAGACGTGTTCCTGTGAACGTTGTGTGTGATACAGCGACACAACATGAACACAACCTCAGCCACAGCATTCATATTTACCGACAGAAGTCTCGTCACTGTGTTTAATAAACGAGCTGCAGTTTGAGCGTTTGTGGCAGAACCGTTGATGTGAACGGCTGCTGGATTCATTCCCTCCTGCTTCACGTCCATCTGCATTCAGACAGAAAGCAACACGTTGTCACCGCTAACACTCACCGCTAACACAACCAGGCTGTTCTGACTGGACTTTATGTCTCGCTTATGAATTATTGATACCTCTGTGCCTTAACATCCAGATTATTGGGACTGTTGTGTTTTAGTTCAGGGTTAGGGCCATGTCGGTGGAGCTCTGTGGTTCAGAGAATCCATTAGCGTCTCTTAGCTAAAGATGACAGAACTGTGAGCTCAACGCTTGACGCTGTGTTTCCTCCTGTCGGCCTCCAGTGCAGCAGCCAGACCCCAACCTGCCCAAAGCTGAGGGTGCCCAGATGGTGGCGCTGCAGGGCGAGCAGCTGGGCGTGGTCACCAACTGGCCCCCGTCCCTGGAGGCGGCACTGCAGCGCTGGGGAACCATCTCCCCGAAGGCGCCCTGCCTCAGCACCATGGACACCAACGGGAAGCCGCTCTACGTGCTCACCTACGGTAGGTTCTGACCCAGCAGCAGTCAGCGACACCGGTCTGGGCTCATTAGTTCATTAGTTCATTAGTTAACTGTAAACCTCCATTACTGTGGTGATGATGATGATGATGATGATGAAGATGATGATGGTGATGATGATGATG